TTTGTAATTTAGTCAAATTGCCAAAGATGCTTTTCATTTATTACATAGACAACAATCCATTAAATGTGTTTGAATACAAGAACATGTAATAGTAAACAATTACAAAATAAAACTGACTAATACTTTTTTTTTGGGTTATATTACTATGAACTGCGTTTAGTAAAAGATAATCTAGAAAAAATTTCTAAATAATCTTTGCTCAATAGAAGTGGATTCTGTAACAGTATGGCTTTGTTACAGAATGTACTGATTGTGGAAAGTAATTTCATAGTAATTGTTTTGTAATTGATAAAGCTGTTTAGAAAAACATTGCATTTATCATAAATAAGTATTTAATGGGTTGTTAAAACAAATATATTTGGCCATATAGTTATTAATAATAAAAAGTAATAGTAATAAATAATAAAATAAAAAGTAATAATAGTAACTATATTAATGATTGAAATCTTAATAATATAAATAACAAAGTATAACTATACAGTGTAAATTTTTTGGTAAATATCATAATGATAGAAACGATTAATATTAGTAATGTAAGAGCTATATTAATATAGATAATAGCAGATTTAGCAGATAAAAATATAAACTCTTATAATAATAGTACAAGTAATAAATTAAATAAAAATAATGGACTTGAAATAAAACAAAGAATTTAATATCTAAATGACAAAAACAAAATTAACAGCAAAAATATAAACTTTCCATGTAATAAGTATGATTTTTGCATAATATGTAATAACATGTAATAGAAATGAATAAGTAATAGCATATATGTAATAACAATGTATTAAAAATGTAATAAATAAGAATATACAAATTAAAAAAAGAAACTACTTTTAAATATTAAATATACATACACATTGCAATTCAGTAATCAATTCAAATAAATACTTCCATTATTTTATCTAAGCATTTGATCTATACATAATTCAAGTATAGTTGAGTATTGTAAGTGAATATTGAGTTATAAAAAAAGTGAACATAAGCTGTATTTAAACAAGATTTTGTTCCATTTATGATGAAATGAAATTCAAGAAAAAAAATTATACTTTTAATGGATACAATATACATAAGTAATAAGTACTTTTCCTTAATAGTTTAACTTCACTGGCATTTTTAAGGGTGGCTGATACAAACGAAACAAATTATATAACAGCTTACTTTCTTGTTGTATGTAGCAACAGTAAAATTATGTCTATGTCAAACAGAATGGTAATTTATGCTGCAAAAATCATTTATAAACAGTTCAACTTTGCTGTAACTATCACAAGCAATTTTCCAACAACAAGATCAGCTATTTATTTCCTTGTTATAAACTCACGTGCACTTGCGACAACATTCAAAATTAACCGAGTCAGTAGGAGGATAAACAGACAAAGTAAATATTATTGTTTGCTTCAATTCATTTGTAAATAATTACTTTGATGTTGTTAAATTTTAAATATTTTTTTTAGAAATAAGTGTTCCTGCATGCAAAAAATTAAAACTATGTGCTCTATCAATTAGTGAGGATGTTGATTTTGTCATTGAAAAAAGGAGTTTTAGTAACGAAGGTAAGTTTGAAAAAATAATTATTAAATTTAGGTATTTACAATTTAAATTTGTATAATTTTTGTTATAATTAATAATGATCATGTAGATCTTGTAAAAGTTATGAAACCGCTCCAGTAAATTTTTATAAAATAAATGTATTTCATACTCAACAGAAATCGATATCCAAGTTAGTACTGAAAATTATTTGCAGCAATCTGATATCAGTAATCCTATATGCTCCAAATAATTTTTAGAACAATCTTCCAGTCATGGTATTGATTAATTTTTTATTTTAGTTTTTTACATTTTTGCATAGTTTTAGATTTTTCTTTTTAACAATTTTTTTTTTTTTTTTTAAATTAATAATTCTATACCTACTAGAGTTATTTTAGAACGTTGATCATCATAAATTTAATTATAAAAATAAAATGGCTATACAAATATAAGTTTAAAATATGTTTTCTCTAAAAAAGTTTGCGCAAATTAAGTTTTTTTTAGCACTAAGGTCTTCAATTACTTCTAACTTCGATCCCCACCACGTCCCTGGTAGTACCGCGCTCAACTTGTTTCTCCGCGCAGCGGCCTTGTTCGTCAAGGTTCGTGTTTCGGAGTAATAGAGTTGAGAGAGGGTTATAACCACAATTAAGTAGCCTCCTCGTCTGTAGTGGCCTTCTCGGCCTTGGGGAGGTGAATAACAAAAAAAAAAAAAAAAAAAAAAAAAAAAAACTTAACTTCTATTTGTATTTTTTGTTTTTGTAATTTTGTTTATTTTTTGTTTATTAACTTTATTTTGTAGAAGTTGAAAAATAATTTAATAATATATTTCAGAATTTAGTGTTCCTATAATTAATGAAGATGTTTATGTTCAAGATTCCAGTAAGAGTTATTTACAAGGTATTAATTTAAAAGTTATTTAAACATCATATGCAAATTTTAAATATCTATTGTATTTTTTTCTTATTTAAAGGAAAGAGTGCTCCTGTAAACATCAATGTTCAGCAAAGTTCAACCAATAGTTCCTTTAAGTCAGAAATGAGTTATACTGAAAAATCTGAAATTGATATTGTAATACCTCTTAAAACATCAGAAAGACAACAACTATATAGTGAAATAAATAGTCTTCGATTAAAAAGAGATTTATTTATGTTGAAGTGGATATCATTAAAAGATAGCAATTGCAGTTTAGGAATAAATAAAATTCGAGCCAATCCTGATAAGTGCAATATGCTCACTGGACTTAATCTTCCTGTATTAGAAAAACTGTTGAGTTTCCTATGCAAAGGAACTCCAGAAATTTCATGAAAAAGATTTACTACAGAAGATAAAATTATTTTCTGTTTAGTTAAATTAAGGCACAACATTAACTTTGATATGTTATCATTTATGTTTGATATTAAAAAAACTACTGCCTTGGATAACTTTTGGAAATGGATTGATATTATGTATGTGAAATTAAAATATTTAATAAAAATGCAAGATCGAGATCATATATACGAAACAGTTCCTCCTGTTTTCAAAAACAAATTCCCAAGACTAATATCAATTATTGATTGTTTTGAGATTTTTGTGGAATCACCATCATCTCTAATGGCAAGAGCACTATTTTACAGCCAATATAAAAAACATTGTACAATAAAATGTCTCATTTCATGCACACCTAATGGAATGATTAACTTTATTTCCGATTGCTATGGTGGAAGAGCTTCTGACAATCAAATAACTCGGGAATCAGAATTTGCATCTAGCAAGTACCATATGCCAGGCGATCAAATCTTATCAGATAGAGGTTTTATTTTACAAGACGATTTTGCAGCTGGAAGTTGCTCTATATTAATAAATCCAGCTTTTACAAAGGATAAAGCACAACTTTCTGCTTCGGAGGTAGAAAAATCTCGCAAAATATCATCTGTTAGAATTCACATAGAAAGAGTTATTGGGCTGTTGAAAAATCGTTACACCATTCTTCAAGGTGTATTGCCTTTACGAACTGTTAAAAATATTACTGATGAAGCTACCTCAGTTACTCTTTCTAATTGTGACAAAATTGTAACAGTTTGTGCTGCTTTAACAAACCTTGGTGAAGGAATCGTTTAAATTTTCTCAAAACGGCTATTTTTATAGCCACATATCTTAATAAAAGCATTATTTGACAAAAAGGACCTCAAGAGGTGGTACAAGAGTTGTACTCATGGATTTTCTTTTTCCGGGCTTTTTAGTCATCACTCGTTCAAAAAAGAAAATTTCAAAAAAATTAAGATACAATTCAGCTGAAAGCAAATTATGAGGAAAATAAGAGAAAAATATTCCGCATTTTTTCCGGATATTTTACGCAAAAAATTTCCCTTTTTTTTTTTTAATATTACCTGGATGATCTATGTATATCGTCCCTGGTGCCCCGGAAAAAGGAGAAGCCTTTCTGCATTACATGGTACATATTTTCAGACCGCAAATACATTTGGGATCTACTTTTGCTGTTAACAGCCCTGTAAATAAGGATTTTCACTATTCAATACTAAATGTATATGGTATGGAATACAATACGATACGGAAAATGATCATGAAAACTAGTCCATTCTTTAAAGTTATTTAGGTGTGTTGAATAAGTTTAATAGAATATTTATAAATCTAATAAATGTGCGAAATACCGATTAGAATATTTATTAGGTTTGAAAAAAACGAGCCACAACTTTATGTCGTTACAACATAAAAATATAAATGAATAAAATATCGACCGGCGTTTGAATTAAATATGAAAATACATTTCGATACCGCTTTGTCAAAAATGTAATAACTTGTTAATACGATTTTTTAGTAAAATAATTTGTTACTACAATTTTATTTCCTAAATTTGATTTTGAGTAAATTTGCGTAAAAAAATATTGTTGGAATCTATTCAATAGAAACATTGTTATCATTAGTATTTTGAGAGTTCAATTTACGCATTAGACTTTTTGTATAACATTGATAAATAAGATTTTGTTTATTTAGGTGCTCCAAGAAGTGCTAAGGGTCTTTTTATAGAGCACCGCGTAACAGTATTTATTTCACGCTTCCTTCATTACTAATCTTGCATACATGAGCCGTCATCGAACAACGATAGTTTACAGTGATTATCCAAGTCATATTTTAAAAATCCGGTAAACAGTTGTGTATAAACAGTTGTATATTCGGAAAAAATCCGTTATATATTTACTCTTACTTTCCTATTTCTTTTTTATATTGTTGTATGAATGAAAAACCAAATAAAGTATATATAAATTACAAAAACACAAACAAATAATATGTAGGTCAGACAGTTTGGATATCCAGAAAAACATAACATTTAGAAAAATATCCGGAAAAAGATTACCCTTGGGTTTAAAACAATATTATAACATAAAATACGATAAAATGTTTTCCCCCGAGGAATAAGGTAAAATATTTTTTCCAAAAAAGAAACCGATTAACTTAAGGAAAAATACCGCCTTACTTCTTTTTTATTTAGACTAGGTAATCAAACTCTTCCTATTCACCGAGATTTCGGAGAATAGGAAGAGTTTGATTATCTATTAATCTGTAACAGTTTTTTTCAATATTATATCATATGCTTTAATGTTTTTAATAATATGTGGCTATGAAAATAGCCGTTTTTTAAAAATGGGATATTCTTTATTTCACCTCAAATTATGATTTTTCCATTCCATTTCTCAGCATAATAATGTTAACAACAAATATCATGAAAATGATAAGGAGAATAGCATTAATACTGCTCCATTAATGTATTGGTTTCTAAGAAGATAATAATAAAAAAATGTATTATTAAAAAAAAACTTTTTGCTGCTGAAATTATAAAAAATAATTACGTTTTTGTGTGCAGACTTTTTCTTGTTTTTACAGCTATTGCAATACCATACAGACGATCTTGGCACAGATTTCAAAGATATACATTTAAGATGAAACCAATTATCACATGAATCACAGCCGACCATTGTATCATCATTTTCTAAGCTTTTAGATTTGCAAATACAAAAAACATTATCATCATTATTTATGGTTTCTGTTAATGTAGAGGAGGGCAATTTCATTCCTGATTCAACTTCTCTTGTTACTAATTCCCTCAAAATAAATCTATTCCAAAAAACATCACATTTATTAAACACCGATTCCATAAAACTAATGTCAGGTTCAATACGTAAAACTATAAACTCACTGGGTGTCCATACCATAAAATCACAATAGCTCACTCCAGTAACTCTCATTTCAAGCTGAACCTGGAAAAAATATGTGTGCTGTTTTTGTAAAAAATATTTCCCATCCGTATTTAATCCTACATAAAAAACATCTTTCAGTATTTCTTCTTTCAAAGATTTGTCTTTTAAACTAAAAGGGCATTTGATTTCTAAAACTCCATATCCACAACAAGTGCAATACACAGAAGCATCAGGGGATGCTGCATACCATAGTTTTTCATAGTCGATGCAAAGCCCTAATTTTTCAACTTTTAAATTTTGATGGATGACAATGTCTGAAAGTGCCAATAAGTTATGAGCTTCATTACAGTCTGAATAAAGTTGTCTATATAAAGTCAATGCATTTTCCTCATTTTCTCTTCCCCACACTATTGGAGGACTTTTTATTGTTATATTCTTTTCTGAACAAATATTTAAAATTAAAGATTTAGGTGGTGTCTCAACTCTAGCATGAAAAACTTGATACAAAGTAGAACCAGTTATTCGTCCGACTCGTACCTGATACCAAGAATCACACAGAGATTGATTTCGAGTTGCTTCTTCAACATAGACAATGTCATCAGAATTTAATTTTAAATCTTTTATTTTCTCATCAAAAAAAGAATTTAACTGTTCATTATCTAGAGATTTATAGATTGCATTGAAAAAATTTCTGAGAGATAAAGGCAATTTTGCTACAACAGTAGATTCTAAGTGTATAAATTCAGTATCAAAATCTTTAAACAAACTGACAAAAACTGATATTTTTCAATATTTGTTGGAGAAACAGGCATTTTCCTAGTTCTTTTTCCTGTAAGTTTCTCTTTAGCAGCATCAGAATATAAATTTATTTGAGAAACTGGGGAACCAACAATATTTTTTACAAATGTTTGATTCCATTGACATGGTAAATCAGTTGGTGTGGATGATGTCATTCCAATGCGAACAGCAGCTTCAACTTTATATAATGTTGCAGCTACATGTGAGCATGTTTCACCAAGGCTGTTAAAAACAATAAACCATAGATTTAAATAATCCAAAAACACCTTTAAATAATTTCAACAGATTTAAATAATGTAAACAAAATTTAGTAGTTCATAAAAACAAGATAACTTTTAGTGTTAAATTATTATAGTCAAATGCTCTCCAGACACTTACCCGGCCATACAATTACAGTGAGCAGTCACTACATTACCAAGTGAACCAAGAGCAATCCAAGGCTTATGATTAGGGGATGTGGTTCTGTAAGAAGATCTAACATCACATTTTAAGATCATGATATCTTGACTTATCTTCATATGGACAACAGTTTGCACCCAACCTTTTTGAAAGAACTTCCAAGCCTCCAATGACTTGTAGTTTTCCATAGCTTCTGGAGAATAGATGCCTACATAGTGTTGAATGTTTAAAATAAGTGTAAGCAAACATTAATATTGACTGAGCAAACTAACATAATTTTAGGATTTAGGAATTAAATATATAATAACTTAATAATAGGTACGTGGAAATATCCGTTTTACGGAACCGAATTATGTGCTAAAAAACTGTGCCACGCTTTTTAGATTTTTTTTTAACTAGCGTTGGGAAGACGTGTTTAGTTAAAAAACTTTTTAAAATTTGATATCAATATAGATTATTTTTAGAAACTAGAATAGTTAATCTTTATTACTGTGAGCTTCATTATTTTACTGGATGGCTTTTTTATTGAGTTTTTTGATGTCTAAAACTTTGTTGTACTTTGGGCATGAAATTAATGTCGAAGGTATGCTCTTTTTTTTTTCTATACTATTCTTTTTTTTAAGTTTTTCATTTATCTATGCACCTGGAAAATTTCATTGAAAAAAAAGTTGTAGCAGGGTGTCTATTTTTTGTCGCACTTTTCCTACCTAATTTTCAATTTTGCTGAAGTGGTCGCGGGAGACAGAGGGGTTAAATAAACATTGTTTACATTTGATTCTGATTAAATAAAATTTCAGTTTTTTTTTAGATTAAATAAAATGGAAAATAAAGATGTTGATAAAGGTTTACAATATTGTTTCCTATTTATTAAAATTTTAAAAAAGTTATTTGCCTTCAATGTAAAGTTATTGAAACTTATTAACTTTACATTGAAGGCAAATAATTTAATTTAACTGAATTTTAATGTTTCCTTACTTGAAAGTTGAATTTTTTAAAAATGTAACTGACATATTAGTAACATTATAACATATTTTATCTTACATTGTAATCATTAAAAAAATTGTTGTATCATGATGATCATGATACAACAATTAGTCTCTCCAATAACAATTGTAATAAACTACTACTAGTAGTAGTATATTACAATTGTTATTGGAGAGTCTTGTTGTATCATCATAATACAACAGTAAGTAGTATATTGTAATTGTTATTGGAGAAAAAAGTCTAGTTTTTACCTAGACTTTTTTATAAAAAGATGCACGATAATCATCTTTTTTTTTTAATGATTAACTGTTAATCTTTCAACTGTAACAAATAATATAAATTAAATATGGTCATATTTAACTAATATATGTTAGCAACCTTATTCAACTTTTATGTATAATAAATGTAACGTAAATAATCAAGAACATTTGTTATATTGTTTAGCTGCCCAAAGCAGTCCTACGGCAGCAGCCAACAATATCAGTTAGTTATTTTAAACATTAAATATTCATTAGTTTCTTTTAACTTAAGATCAGTAGATTTATTCAAATGTTTGTATTATTTTGCTAAAAAAAGTTTTTCATTTTTTGTTTAGATGATGCTTTTGAGAGGATAAGTCAGTTTTTTTTGGCGATTTATTATTTTAGTATTTAGTCTTTTGCTCTCAATGTTAAATTATATATCTTTATTATGCTATGTGTTTTGTACCGATTTTTGTGCATCCACAAAGTTTTTTCACAGTTGTTTATTTTGTACATTCCTGATTATTTCTTGCTTTTTATTGAGTCATTGTTATTTTTTTTCTATAGACAATTTAGAACAAACTATTAGTAAGTAAAGTTTGAACTATTTTAGTTATTTAGTCATTTGAACTTTTTTTTTTTGTAATGTTAGTCTAATTTAATTTTATAATAAAGTTAGTATATTTAAATTGACTTTTATGCGAATTCAGACAGCAGATTTGTAAGTTTAGTAAATTTTAACGATTTCAATAGTATAGTTTAATGATTCATGCTAAGGTTATTATTTAATTGATACACGTTAAAGCTGTTTACTCTATTGACACACGCTAACTAAAGATGTAACGAAAAGTGTAACTTGAAATTAAGTTTATTTTAGTAAACTATTGTTATTACTATTGTTACTATTTTTTCCTTTTAATTCTTTAGCAACACTTACTTCATTAATTGGTAAGAGATTAAGGTGTATTTTTATGTTTAAGTATTGAGAAATATAGTTTGATTTTGTGTATTATGCAGTATTGTACTATTTAATATGTACTATGTTATTGTATATTTAATATGTACTATGTATTTATATTTAACATTTTTTTTTTTTGAAGTATCATCTATAGCTGCTCTATCTGGTAAGGTTTTTTTATTTTAACTTTTTAATATATTTTTAATATTCAAATTTTAATAATAACTTCAAGATTGGTATGTGTATTATATGCTTCCATATTTTAAAGTTATTTAAAAATTGTATTTTTTTACTTTGTAACATGATTTAATAAAAAAAATCATGCAATATATTTTATACTAATCCAACTGGTAAGTTTATTTATTTTAACTTTGTAATAAGACTTTCATAGCAAGGTAATTATGAAAATAATAAATTATTATGATTTTTTTTTTTTAGTACCACCATTATCTGTTTCAGCTGGTAAGAATAAATATATTATAATTTTGCAGCATTTTTTAAACGCAAAATAATTTAAGGATTTTTGTTTGTATTATGTTTTCAATTTTTTAGTTCCACCTTCCACTGATCTAACTGGTAAGGTTGTATATTTTTGCTTTGCAATATGATTTGCAATAAGATTGTGTAAAATGCTTTTTCATTTCTTTTTTAGTGCCATCATCATCTACTCCAACTGGTTAGTATATATGTTTTAACTCTGCAATATGATTTTAAATAAAATTTATTTTTAAGATTGTGTATAATGCTTTTTTATTTCTTTTATAGTGCCATCATCTGCTCTAACTGGTTAGTATATATGTTTCAACTCTGCAATATGATTTTAAATAAAATTTATTTTTAAGATTGTGTTAAATGTTTCTTGATTTTGATTGATGTATAATGCTTTGTTATTTTTATTTTTTATTTTTTATTTTTTAGGTTGGGGGAGGGGTTTACACGCCCCTTCCGTACATCAATGCAAGTTGTGTATTTGAATTCCTGTAAAATATAGTTTTATTATGTATACTATTGATTTCAATGTAGTATAGATAAAAATTTTAATGAAAACAAGTTATTTTTGATGCTAGGGTGTATCAAACCATCAACACCGCACCCACCTCCATCGTTAACATACGCCTCTCATATAATCGGTGGTTTAATATAATTTTATAACAACTTTTTTTGTATATTTAGATTACTTATGTCTTGAAAAAAAACTTTTTTTCTGAAAAAAATGTTCAGTTTCATTAGGGTAAGGTAGTGGTCTGGTGCCCCCTCTGTCCATCCGATACGCCCGGTGGTTAGAGTTCAACAAAAATTTGTAGCCCACTCTCACACCTATATTTTGACACCAAGATATTTGTATTTTGATAAGAATTAAGAAAGTTATGACAATTTAAGTGAGGAAAAACATAATTTTGACCACAGTTTCTTCAACAATTCCATATATCAAAAAATCGGTACTTAAACCGTCATAACTTTTGAACCAATTGTTCGATTTTTAAAATTTTTTCACCTTTAAAATACTGTATTGATTCTCTTTCCAATGATATATAACAGTAGAATATTTAAACAATTTGAAATTTTTACTCACGTACCTATTAATAAATATATAATAACTTATAAACAACTATTTAGAAATATTTCTTACATGGAGTCTTAATCAGGTATTGATATAGATTATGATAACTTAAGGAAGGCCATTGACTTGGATCTTCAGTCCAAGAATCAGCCGGATACTTATATGGACACTTGTCCAATCCTAAAACGATCAAAATGCTATGCATTATTTTCGTTTATTCTGACGAAAATTATTTAAAAAAGTAAATTAACATGAAAAATAATCAACTTAATTTTCGCTGATATCTTTCTGCTGCTTCTTTTGATAAACTTTCAAAATAATTGAACGACATTAATACAAGCGCTTTCTTATCTTTGCGTTAAGGTGTAATGATTTGTTTTCCCTACATTCAATATGGTTACTTTTGTTGCGCAATAAGTCACGTGATTCCGACTAGATGGATAAGCTATTGGTCTAAAAGAAAAAAAATTCGAGAAGTTAAAATTATTTTATTTTATTATATAAAATTATTTTATTATTAAAATTATTTTATTTTAACTTTTATTTATTTATTTATCCGAAATCAATCGAGGGGAAATGGTTATTGACTATGATTACATAGGTAAAACTGAGTTTTATTTTCCTCAGCCTACTGACGCTTTGCCCAAAACAGTTGTTCAAAGCAATTGCAAAAAACATGGGTTGAATACTTCAGATAATGAACCTTCCAACACCACTCCTCTGGATAATAACCTCAATATTTCTTATCAATTGATAATGAAATTAGTGAATTTGAAGCTTTATCTGATAACAATTCAGATAAAAGTGATAAGAATATTGTAATAGATGAATTAGAGGGTGATTTAGCATTTTAATCTTCTCAGCATAATATCACACAAGAATTCACTGATTTAATTTGCTGATCTATGACTAGAGCTGCTTAAACGTTAATGCATCCTAAAATTTTATTTAAATTTGTGTTTATTATGTATTTAAATAAAATTCATTATATATATGTATTTTTTATGCTATATTTTACATAATCTCATCACCATTGTCATCATCCCCCACCTTTATTTTCCTTTATTCAATATATTTATTCAACCTTAATTATATTTCTTTATAATTTCTTTATTTTTAATTTGGTGTTGAGTAAAACAAGTACTTCGTTAAGTTTTAATAGTTATTTGTTGACTAAAGTATACACTTATTAACTCCGTTAATGTTTAGCCTTAAAATTATTTTTACTGAACATCATAATATCTTAAGGTATTATTTTGTATTTCGTGTATACTTTTTAATGTATACTTTAAGGTGTTTATAATATACCATAAAAATTTCTATAAACTATATTTTAATATCAGACTTATGTGTTTAGAGTACAGAAGAAACCTGATGAAAATTATGATAGTGACTCACAAGATTTTAATGAACATCAAGAATTCAAAAAGTCTTATCTGCAGACACCTATCTCTGTATTGAATCAAAGTAGAACAAGATTGGAAAAAGTGATCATATTTACTTCTGTGATTAAGGTATTTTGACTACTTATTTGTAGCCTATTGCAAAACATTTTATGAATTATAACTAATGTTATTTAAAAAAATGAACTAAATTGTTTTACTAGTGGAAACAATTTTTTTTAAGGTGAAGGGAGTAGCAGCCAAAAGGGAAGTAGCAAAATAATTGAATTGGACAGGGCAAAGTGATCTTCATAAAAAGTCTTTCCGAATTCTTAAATTTCTTTAAATTATTGAAAATAAGTTAATAAATATAATAATAAATAAATATAAATATTTAAAATTGTCTTTCATTGTTTTCTTCCCTTTATTGTCATTTATTAAATTTATATATGTGTATTTCTATGTGTGTGTGTGTGTGTTTATATATATATATATATATATATATATATATATATATATATATATATATATATATATATATATATATATATATATATATATATATATATATATATATGTATATATATATATATATATATATATGTATATATATATATATATATATATATATATATATATATATATATATATATATATATATATATATATATATATATATATATATATATATAATATACAAACATACATACATACATACATACATACATACATACATACATACATACATACATACATACATACATACATACATACATACATACATACATACATACACACAGACATACATACATACATACATACATACATACATACATACATACATACATACATACATACATACATACATACATACATACATACATACATAGATACAGACATACACACAGACATACATACATACAAACACACAGACATACATACATACATACATACATACATACATACATACATACATACATACATACATACATACATACATACATACATACATACATACCCACATTAGGGCCATGTGAATCTTCAAAATTTCGAATTGAATCGTTAAAAGTCATTTAAGTTTCAAAAAAAAAAGATTTGAGTTATTGAATATTTACTTATTTTCTTTTTGTTGCAGTATTTTTGAATAACTGGGCACTTTTTCACTTTCAAAAAATACTTTACAACTTAGTTTTTCACTTTCAAAAAATACTAAGTATTTTTTGAAAGTGAAAAACTAAGTTGGAAATTTAAAAAAAATTAAAAAGGTTTAGAAGGGGGTAAAAATACCTAACAAACTAACTATAAATATTTATTTAATTTTGAGAAAAGACATTGTTAGTAGAATTCTAAATTTTTAGTTATAGGCATTAAAAACTATTGTCAGTGAAGGAACGATAGGTTCCTTCCGTGACACAAGGTTTGATGGCTATAACAAAAAAGTTATTATTCCACATGCAACATCTTTACCTGAAATTAAATAAGTCTTTATAGGTAGCATGTTAGGTATTATTGCCCCCTTCTAAACGTTTTTGTTTTTTTTTGAATTTCCAATTTAGTTTAAAATGGTCATTTCTTTTGAAAAAAAAGACTTTTTAATCCTGCCCATATGTATATATATATATATATATATATATATATATATATATATATATATATATATATATATATATATATATATATATATATATATATATAAAAACAAAGAGAGCGAGATACAGATATAGACATATACAGATACATATAACAGCTATATTTAGCTATACTCTTATAATTTTGTTCATAATAACACTTGATATATGACTGCGTTTATGTTTATAGAAGCAATACGAAGAAATTTGCTGACAAAAGATACCACATACAGCGAAATTTAAAAGGCAGTTGTGGCTTTTTTTTCTGGAGCTCAAGACAGAAATAGAGGCAGAAAAGAAAGAGCAGAAAAAAAGTCCATCCAAAAAACCAGTTCATCAAAAAATTGTAGCTATAATGCCCAATCATTGACATTGAAACCTTTATCTGGATTATCATTATCACGATTTGAACGCTTTATTTTTGATGAATCTGACAAAGTATAATGTTCTCAAAGTCTTGCATGATCTGTTTTATATGTTATATTTTATATTAAATATATATTTGACATTATTATAAGCTTTACAAGTATTTATGTTATTAATGATAAATTTAATGCATTTATTTTTTATATATTTTTAATGTAAATTTATTAACTTGTAAATTGTTAACAAAAAATATATTATATGAATTCAATAATTGTTTTTTGTTTTCAACGTATGTCTATTTTAACAAAAAGTAAAAAAAAAATATATAACTGACAAATATAATAGATAAAATAATTATTTTTATATAACTATGTAAACAAGTAAAATTAGTAAAACTAGATGAAAAAAGTAGATTAATTGGACAATTTTGTATAGTGGGCGGTTAGTGCAACGTTCGCTGATTGCCACCGTTGGCCCTAAATTGAATCAATGCTGGCTTGCCGTCAGCAAAACGTTGCTGCGCCAGCACTGGCTTGCGTACACCGGCCCTTTGAAAAACCAATGAGCAACCCGGCGCTGGCATGCCAGGCCTGGTACAGCTTGCCAGCCGAGCCTGGTTCGCTATTAGGCCATATAATGTCTGCTTACTAGGATGCCAAGCTTAGATTTAATAAATTCTTGGACTTATTTCTCGCTTTCTTTCCATGATTCATTATCACAGTCTTCGATACCGTTGATTCGAAGATTGTTTCTTCGACTGCGATCTTCTAATTCAGCCAGTTTATTAATAATAACATCATCTTCAAATTTCTTCTTTTCATTGCCTTGATTATTTATGTCGTTTGTTTTTTTAAATTGGCTGCTTCGTTTTTTATGTTTTTGTATTTTTCATTTATAAATTCCACAGATTTTTTTAGTTCCTTAACTTCACTTTTTAAATATTTATTTTCTTCTGATGATGTTAAATTTGTTTTCTAATCTTTCGATTTTGTCATTTAAGAGTTTAATTATTGTATTTTCATGTAAGTTTAATTATTGTATTTTCATGTTAGTTTAATTATTGTATTTTTTTGTCATCATTGATTCAAAAGTTTAATTATTGTACTTTCTTTGTCATCATTGCTATTGTGGGAGCCACCAAAGCTTCTTGATTCCAATATAGTATACATTTAAAAAAAATTTTTTTCACTTGTAAAAATAATCTTTTTTTTTTTTCTTTTTTATGGTTAATTTGCTTTTTAAGTTACAATCTTTAAATTTAAAAAGAACGCTATAATATAATTAGAATATTGTGAAAGAGTTTTTATTTCATTCATTTAATTTCATCATTTAAGAGTATTTATAATCATTGTTAATCTTGTTTTAGAACTTTCTGTCTGTCTCTGCCTCAGTGGATCAACTAGATGACTAGCCAGTTAAAAAGATTTTTATTAGCCAGTTAAAAAGTGTTTCCATCCGAGTATCAGTCTGTTTGACAAATTCAACCATTATTACATTCATCTTCTTCCTTTTCTTTAACATCTCGAAAAACTGGGATAGACCAAATAAATATCTTTATTTACCAGCTAATTCAGTTATAAAGATATCATTTGCAGAAAGATGAAGCAAGTTGGTGAGAGATATGTAAGTGACTTTTTAAAAAATGCTTTAAAAACTTGTTTAACAAAAATAAGCTATGCTGCAGTATTAATCGAACTGATGCTAATAAAAAGCGTATGTTTATAGGACCAGTCGAAAGTCTGATTTTTGATGCAGCTTACTGTTTATTTCTAATAGCCACTGAATTCAGTATGACTACCATAATTGCGAAACACTTGAACAAATCTAAAGATCGTTATTTTGCTACAAGAAAGAGAAATTCATCTTTAATAATTAATATACAAGTACACAGTCCTGTTATAAAAGAAATTTAAACATTGACTGGTGTAGTGATTCCAGTTAACTTATTTTTTTTTATTTGTTCTATTATTATTTATTCACTTATTTTTTAGATATTTTATTTGTTACAACTTTTTTAGCAAGTATTTTTAAAAGTTGATAAAGATAAAAAAAAACTAAAATTTGAATTTGATTCTAATTTTAAGAACCTGATTCTTATCTTGAGAACCTGATTCTTGTTTTAAGAACTTGATTTTTGTTTTAAAAACTTGATTCTTCTTTTAAGAACTTGATTTTTATTTTAGATTTCCATTCTTATTTAAAGATATTTCAATAAAAAACATTGTTCCTAATTTTATAGTATTGTAGCATTTGTGTAAAACATGTATATATATTTAAATATGTATACATATTATACACAAAGAATGTTTGCAAATATATATATATATATATATATATATATATATATATATATATATATATATATATATATATATATATAAATATATATATATATATATATATATATATATATATATATATATATGTATATATATATATATATATATACATATATATATATATATATATATATATATATATATACATATATATATATATATATATATATATATATATATATATATATATATATATATATATATATATATATATATATATATATATATATATATATATATATGTATATATATATATATATATATATATATATATATACATATACATATATATATATATATATATATATATATATATATATATATATATATATATATATATATATATATATACATATATATATATATATATATATATATATATATATATGTATATATATATATATATATACATATATGTATATATATATATATATATATATATATATATATATATATATATATATATATATATATATATATATATATATATATATATATGTATATATATATATATATATATATGTATATATATATTAATTATTATTTAGGTGCCCCTTCTTTCACAAGGCACATAAGGCCCGGGCCTAGGGCCCCCAAAATTTTTGGAGCTCCCTAATTTTCAGATTTTAATAATTTTTTAGCCCATCAGAACTTTAGACATAACAGACGTAACAATAGATTTTAATAATATTTATTTTATTTAAAAAGTTTTTGGTAAAAAAGAACTGAAATGATTTCAAGATGATTTGTTTGGATTTAACCTTTCCGTTCCGAAGTACGCCTTTTGGCGTTTTTAAATATACCTCTATCTTTTACACAAAATTTCAAAAACATGTTCTGCAGAACATATTTTTGAGATTTTGATTCAGAATGATTTCAGATTTTGAGATTCAGATATGCAACAGATCTGTTGCTTTTCTGAATTGAAATTATGAACATATGGTCCACAACAGTCCGGAAAAATTTCATGGCCGATAAAAAAGTAGGGACTGCCTAAAAAGCCGAATTCTAAAACGCCGAAATGCCGAAAAAAATGGCGTATTAGTAGACCTGCGGTAGCCGTAAAAAAAGACAACGAAAAGTTAAGCATCTCCCAGATTTTTTATTGCGCATTTGCGAATGCGAAAGTTTAAAGGGACAGAAGAAAAAGCCAAACTTGGCTTTTGCTTCTGTCCTTTTAAACTTTTGCGAATAATAACGGAAAAAGAGACGAAATAAAATTTGTTTATAAAATTATTTTTAAATTTGTTTACTAATTTTGTATTTAGTAGTAGTCAATGATATTTATATATCATTGGTAGTAGTATAGAGAGGATTTGCTTAAAAATTGTTAACTAATTAAGTTTGGAAAATTTTAATTAGAATTATTGATAACGACCTCGGTGAACCATTAAGCAAGCGAATTTTCAGATAAATAATTACAAGAAAGCTGTGTTAAGAAAAAAACCTTATGAGTTTGAGGCCCACATAAAATATTATCGTTACACGATAATATTTTATGTGGGCCTCAAACTCATGTGAAAATGAATCCTTGCACACTGAGCAATAGGGTGCAGTGAAACTTTTTTTTTTTTAAATTTATTTGGCCTGGGTGTGCAAAAGTTTTCTATTCATGTCAGAAATACTCTGTAAAAAATGCAATGCTCTAGGAAATTATCTTGAGGTGCCCCTAGGACTTTGAAATTCACCAAAATCCCCAAAAAGTGACCTACGGGAAAAAATTTAGAAGTTTTTTTTTTGTTTGATATTCATTTTGCCTGGGTGTGCAAAAGTTGTCTATTCATATCAGAAATACTCTGTAAAAATTGTAATGCTCTATGAAATTATTTTGAGGTGCCCCAAGGTCATTGAAATTCCCTAAAATCCCCAAAATGTGACCTACCGACTACGGAGTACGGAGCACATGCTACCGAGATAGACTAAGACTTTTTTTTAAATTTGTGTGTGTCTGGGTGATATAATAATATTATTATTTAGTGCTATATAATTAGCTGCTATAATGCTGCCATCTGGCGAGTGAATGTGCATGTATTATTATCTAAAGTACAAACGGCGTCAAACAAAAACACAGAATCTAGCAGATAATTGTTAAAATTATCATTTATTTTTGCTGTGTTGACTTTGTATCGTTAGATCATGGGACAAAAGATTGAAACTGTACGAATAAAGAAACCACTCACCCACAATGATAACATATGCTCAGTATCTAGCATCATTTCACGAATGAGCATAAATGTTTTGCCAACTTATGCAGATATCATGAAACATTTTATATTAATAAGAAAAGAATTGTCTGATAGCCATGCCAAAGAAGCTACAATTAATGAAACAACCAGGAAGATATCTGATGATCTTGAGACAATTTGACACAGAGCATCGATTCCAGTAATATCCCTTCAGCAAATAATAGCTAAAATAAGAGATTACCATGACAAATATCGCTCACTTATGAAACCGTTTAAACAGAGGTCCAAGGACAAGGAGTCACAGTACCTGAACAAAGTTGAAAACTTCAAAATTGACTCAAATCGATTTTTTGATATTGCTTTATAAAAAGACACTGAAAAGAAAACTTGCAGATGAATTGAGATTTTATAAATGTGAATCAATAACAAATGCTGAAACTTTGAAATCGCATCCAGATTGTAGCATCCAGATA